TCACTAAATTTTCTGTCATCTGCTTGGATTTGGATATATGTGTTATCCCAAATCTGAGCTCGTTTTTCTATCAGAGAGAATAAGTCAGTTTTCAGCAGGCTTGGAGAGTTACAGATAAGTCTGAAAGCAGTGATTGTCCAAAATCAGTCTTAAAACGGGTTGTAGTTTAACAAAACTGGAATAATTTCTCCATCGGTTGTGGATAGCAGCCACAGAATGAACTGAGCCGGTCCCACGTGTTCGCTCGTTACCTCTTGCTTGTATCCGCGTCCTCCTGTAATTTGCGTGGCATTAACCCAGCACCTCCGTCTCTCTTTCTCCCTCTCCCTTTCTTCTCCATCACCCATCCCCACCAACCCTCCTTCCTCTCTGTGCCGCTCGCTGCTTCTTCACACTAGCCGGCCTGCCTTTCTTGGTCATTGAAACCAGCGCAGTTCAGCCTTACCATAGAGGGTTTTACTGCGACGATGAGTCCATCAAGTATCCGGCCAAAAACGGAGACACCATTAGCGACGGTGTGCTTAGCGCTGCTGGCATTCTAATCTCCATCCTCTCTGTAAGTCCTCTCACCCTGACCACTAATGTCATCACCTCCTCTCATGTTTTTGCACCTTGCTCATATACTAGCAGCACAATTGAACTGCAGTTGATGTTAACCATCCTTTGTCATCATCCATCAGTCTTTATTCATTGTTACAGCCAAGTGTCCAGCACAGATGATTTGTAGTAACGCTGTTACACTTTTCCAGCTGTTAGATTAGAACAGTTGTGGTGTTTTCCACCAAGTCAACCCGCAATCTTCTCTGTGGGCTTTACTGTATGTGCTGAGAAATGCGGGGTTTATCGCTGGGCTTTATCTTACGGTTGATGCGTTCTGGCCATAAACTGAGATTGTCCTGGGAGATGGCTGGAACGACGACTCCTCGTACCTGCACCATCACACCTTATTATTAGTTTCACCCCGTTCTAGATAACAGCCAGTCAACATTTTCTCAGGGCTTTGCCTTGGGGGATGAGGGGTGGGATTTAAGATGATTCAGGTGATTGCAGCAAAAGGCACTGAGTAGGTTTTTGGAAATTCCTGTGAGAAAGCGATGACGACAAACCTGTGCACATTTCCTGTAAATCAAATCAAATTTTTATTTGCCACGATGATGAAGCCCAACGGCCCTTTCTGCTCCAGATAATGCTGCTGCTTCAGGTTTCAGATGGCCATCACCGGGCCCTGTAGAGAGAAGCCTAACATTTCACAAACACCTCAGAGTGCACAGCTGCACTGAGCCTCAAAATAATCCACGCGTGTAAAACATGTTGATGTGAGTATAGGTGTATAAAAATCCTCAATGTTTAGACCACAGTTTTACTTGACAATTTCATTTGTACAGCAAAAAAATGGAAATTTTTTACGAGAGGCCTGATGATGAGTTGATGATTCAGTTATAAATACAGTCAACACCTGGTATTCGCGGGGGTTAGGGACCACAGCTGCCACAAAAAGCTCAAATCCACGAATACTTGAAACCCCGTCTAAAAACGCTTATAACTGCATATTTTAATAGCGCAAACACTAAATATATCTTAAGCTATCATCCTTATGAAAATAAGGAGCAAATATTTTAGGTATCCTTTCTGAAAAAAAATCCATGAATAGTTT